CCCCCCCCAAAAAAAAAAAAAAAAGTAAACAAACAGACAAAACAACATGACACTTTGGTGTCATGTTTTTTCCCTTAGCTTCTGATAGCTATGTTAATCAACTCCAGAGACTTACAACGGCAAGGGAAGCCTATGTAGGCAAAGTTACACATGAAACAAAGTTTGTTTGTGAAGTTCTGCATTTTGGGGTGGTATTTCTCCCTTCCTCTCAAGATATCGAAACACAAATCGGGCTTGCTTGAATGACTAAAGCAAGTTATTTTACCACCCAATATTCACCTGAACAACTTTTCTTAGTCGCACCAGCCTGCTGCTTGACATCTTCCTTGCCTCTTCTTCTCTGGCTTAAATTAACCGCTGCTCTTCCACGGCTATGGACCATTTTGGCCTGTTCTGCGATCCAGGGATCCGCTTTAAGACCGCTACCGACTCTTCTCACGACTGGAGGCGTTTTCAAAGGAGATACCATTGTTGCCTTCTCCTCAGGAGCGTTCATTCCAAACGACTTCCCGTCACTGGACGATTCTTCCTTCGATTGAGAAGGATTGCAATTGACCAACTCCGCAGCGTCGAGATCAGTGGATTTCTCACCATTTATTGACCGCTCTGTTGTTTTAGAATATTTCGCAATTCTTCGCCTAATCTTTGGCCTAGATTCATTCTCGCTCTCGTTTATTTGCCCCTGCAAACCTTCTTCCGAGCTATTTTCTTTGGGAGCGCTCGTAATGGCGTCGTCTCTTTGTCTCGAGGACGCCACTATCTTGCGCTTTCTCTGCGCATCGGTCAGTTTCCCGATCAAAGCTTCTGCAAAAGCGTGATCATCGAACAAAGAGGTAGAATCGCTCCTCTCTTTGGCTGGAGTCTGTACACTCTTCTCCTTCAGGATTACCTTCGCATTTCTCTTAGAAGCTTTGGATGATCGTGTACTGATCTTGCTCTGAAAGGACGCCGCTTGTTTCTTTGATCTTTCACTGCGTCTGACCGCAACTTCGCCCTCAACTCCACTCGTATCTACTTTTCTTCGCTTTGCAGGGTGGACATCTTCCAGGCCTTTTCTTTGAGTGAAATACTGGCCTAAAGTTGCCTGCTCTACCGCTGTTGATGTCATGCCGCCGCTTTCCTCCAAAGTGAACTTCCCAATTGATTTTGGCGCGAAATCTTTCATATGGTGTTTACAATGCGCTGCGCATGACGATTTTCTTCATTGCGGGCTCAGTATCATGTGATAAGACGCGTGACCACACATGATCATTCGGCATGATTTCGTGACAAATGTATCGTTACGATATTACTAAAGACCACATTTACGTCCTCTCGTTCATGGACTCAAGCTTAAAAATTTAAATATTTTATGACCCTGATGTAGAATCACACCATACTAATAGGCGAATAAATCGTTATTGTGCGCCCATTTGCGCGCTTCATTGACTTCGTACCACGATTGAAAGCGTCCATAAATTATAGTTCCCTAATTTGGAGAAAAGAACAAAAGGGGCGGATTTACGCAAAACACGATGGTCTGGCAGTTTGTGTGACGTGAATTTAGCCTGAAGGGTAAAATATTCCCGAACTCTTCGTTACGTGGTAGACGTCACTTCTCTTTCTTGCCTTGCTTTGAAATTTGTCGTTCGTCGTTCTTCCCAACGATCTGCATCGTGTGGACAAGTTTGTGATTATCTTTTCCCAGTTAGACAAGGAAACTAAAACTTTCAGGAATCATGGGGCACACGGAATGGGCAATGTGGGGTAACGAACAAGGAGTGATTACCAGTGTCGGTAAGTTTGAATTTTGAGAGATTTTTCCATCTTTCAGTAGATGTTGATATTGAAAGTTTTTTGTATAGACACATTCCTGAGTTGAATGTTGTCTCGACTTTCTTCAGCGTGATGTCAATAGTCGAGGTAGAAGGAAGCCGAATGTGTGTTTTCATCAAACTTTTGTTAGAGGTGTTAACTTTTGAAAGTATTTTATTTTAAATTTCAGTCTAGTTTAACCTTGTTGTATATTCAAAGTTGTATTTTAAACGTCTCAGTCAAAGCCTGTCGTTGCCAGCTGTTCATGAAGACAGGCTGTCATAGTGTTTAGCGTGTGAAACTATGTATATTACCGCCTGAGGGAACTTCCTTTTCAACACATTTAACTTTCGATCTAAATTTGGAACATTCAAGCTCTCAGTTCGCCTTTTTTTTCCTTTTTCAGTGTTATTAATGGGTGGAATCCTTGGAACAGCAGCCCAGTTTAATAAGTGGTATTTTGGTCTGTACTCTCTGTATCTTTTTTATCTGCTGTGTACAGAAGTTTGGAGGCAATATTTAGATAGATGCTAATCAAATTCCCATTTGACGCAAATCCACCCCCTCTGTATACCTTTTATTTTACTTTGATTCTTAGCTTAAACACTTAAACTTGTTTTTTGTGCCAAGAATTACACTTTAGATAAGGTTATTTTAGAAGAATTTCGTTCATAGTATAATCTCAAATGTTTTCATTTTCGTCAATAGACGTGCACTGTTGTTGATCAAAGTTTGGTTAATTACGAGCGAATAAGCAACCATACTGATGATTGACTCGCTGAAATGTGTGATCCACTTTATAAATTTATTTATTATTGTTGTTAGTCATTTGAGAGTTAACATGTTAAGTTAAGAAAATCCAGAAAAATTGGGAACACAATGTTGACGTAGTTATTTATGTGAAGACATTGTCATGATTACATAACTTATGTAATTTTTTCTAATTCAGTCATTGGTTCGCCAAGTGATTTTATAGGCAGGCAATTTTGGCAAATGGTTAGCCTTCTTTAACTTGTTGTCAGAATTCTAGGATTTCTTGTTTTGTTGATTGAATATCCCAGAGGAAAGAGAGATAAAGGAAAGAAGACTTTAGAAAGATGGTAAGATTGCTGTACCATGTAATTGTGAATCAGCACTTTGTGTGGGGTTATGATAGCATGCTGATATTGTCACATGGGTGTGATATAGACTACATAATCATGCAATAAATCTTGTAGATGTGGTTACGTAATACATAGCTTAGGACATCAACAAATCAGTTGTTAGATATATTGCTGATTACTATCATGGCAACCAAAAAGAGTTTAGTTGAGTTTTCTTCCATCAAACAGAATAGGAATATTTTCATTCAAACAAAGTACTCTGTTGCCTAAAAATATGTGTTGTGTCTGAAAATCTGTTTGGATGAAAGGCCTGAATGAGTTGTTTGTGAGAGACCCCAATTATATCCAAAGTAGCCAACATACTCCTTAACACATTTGAAAAATTTTCAAACAAGTCTCAGAGATTTTGACATGACTTTCTCTCCAGTTCTCACCTTTCTGGAGGTAGGATTTAGGGGAAAGCCCAGTCAGCAACATGCCACATTGACTTGCATTTATATGAGGTGTGAAAAAAAAAACTATGAATTTCTTTGGGGTAAAAACTCAAGGTTTGTTTGTACGCAAGTTACCTCTACTTAAACAAATAAATAGGTTATGTAGATTTGTTGGCTTTTCATGAAAACTGGGTGGAATTTTTGTCGGTTATTAATGCACAAAAGTGTGTGAGGAACAAGATTCAAAATATTTCTTTTGTAACATCCTGGAGCGTGACAGCGGCCAAAATATTTTTTATGGTCCACTTCAAAATGAATTTTTAAGGAACCATTAAGAATGTCCAAAAAACCTCACACACTTTGTTAGCTTATTATGTGCTGATTAATACTGATTAGTTAGTTTCGTGGTCTGTAGTAACATGAAGACCAATAATTCAGTAAAGATAGCACAAGTTTTGCACCCACTGTAACAAATACTGTGCAAAAGTTTTGTTATTTTCTTAATCTCTTTGGTTTCTTTAAAAATAATGCATGGTGGTGGATTTTACTGAAAGGCACCCTATTTTGTTGACAGCAACCTTAAGTGACCCAATAGTCCTGAGTTTTTTTAATCATAGAAAACATATTTTGAGTAAATAATTTTTTCATGCCTTGTTAGGATGCAGAAACCTTTTACACAGTTTGTTCAGTTCTTTGGAATCTTTGGAAGGAACTACTGGTTTCGATTTATATTCTACATTCTGTAAGTACTGGTATTTAATTATCATGAGTAGATAACTACTCCACAAGCATTTCCTTTAACTTGCACCAGCTCAACTTGGGTGAAAAAATTCAATGTTTTAGCTTGCTAGATGGGAGGAAACTCCAAGCTGGGAAAAGGGAACTCTCTGTACATAGTGTACATGTCTGAAGTACTTCATATGGATTTATGGTTGGTTTTCCTGTGGTTAACAACACTCTGGTATTCATTGGGTCATTTATTGTCAAGTTTTATTTCTAGAAATTTGGAATTGTCAACAGTTTTTCTGAATTATTTTTTTTCTTCAAATAACTCCTTGTTTAAGTGTATCAACAAAGTAACTTGCATTGCTGACGATTAGCTCATCCTGGCATGAAGAGGTATAATGTGTGGCACCACTTGACTTGGATGAGAGCTATCCTTTACAGGATAACCCCCTCTCCCGGCATTTGCCACATTTCTCAGATGTTTTCCTGCTATCAATTCATAATCTTTGGTAGAGAGTGGCACTGGGGAAGTGAAATGTCATGCTGAAGAACATAACAAATTAATTGTTTTCACCATGGCTAGTTTTGGGTCCAGTTTAACCCTGTAACTCTCGTGAGTGACCAAGACAGAATTTCTCCTTACATTATGAATACCATATCAAGCAGACAGGCAATGAGAATAAAGAACAATATCAATTAGGGGATTATTAGTCGATCCAGTACCAAATTCTCTGAACTAACAACACAAGAATTATATGGAAGATAGTAAGGAGAATTACTAATGAGATCTTGGGAGTTAAAGGGTTAAGCTTACTTTAAGGGCTATTTTCCTTTCACAAGATAACCAGTAGGGTGAAAAAAAATGCTTTATAGGTTTTGTATGTCTGAAATCAGATGTTATCAGATCAAAGACAACAAGCCTCGACATCTAATGTTGGTTTTCCCAACCTTGCTTTCTGTAGTTCTGCCGTTCCACCATGCTTCTTTCTATCAACAATCCTTGGTGGAGCAAGCCTGGTATTTACAAGCTTGATTTATCTGCGAGCAGCAATATCAGGAGAGACATGGAAGCCTTGCCTACCAGAAGAGAAGGGAACACAAACCACACAGCAAAGTGAACCACCAAAGCAACCCCCTCCTAGAGGACCACGGTCTCGGAGTCTCGACAATCTGGCAATGGAGCCTGAAGCAGAAGGAAATCCCAACAGAGTGTAATTCAAATAATTTAATGATAAGAATAGCATTACAATGAACGGTCACTTAATTACTTAGGCACTACTGATATTACAGTACTTCTGTTTTTTTCTCAGTATGCAATGACATTTACCAGTATTGCTTAACCCTTTCATGCCCAGGCATGATCAGCTTACAAACTCTCCTTACAACCTGGAAACTTTGAGAAGCATTTAACTTTTTTTTAGCCAAAATTGATAAAACATGAAATTATGACAAAACTTGAGACCTAAGCTTTATTTTCAAAGAAGTAACAAGTCTGAATCTCACACTTCAATCAACCTTATTCAGCTTCAATTTTTATAAAATTGTTTTTACATATGGTAACATCAAGTTCTGTGCACATAATGAATCAGCTTTTTGATATTGGAAGGGAAATTGTTAAAGCAGAAGATCTGTGGTTATTGCCAGCTTATTGCAATGTTCAAGGTTATTTATTTGACAGATAAGTTTCTTTATGGAAAGAAAGCAGTGGGTTTTCCATGGTGGCATTTTAGGTGCAAAATGCCTGGTATTTAATCATTGATAACTGGGCTGAACGAAATTTGCAAAAAAATACTTTTTTTATGTCATTTTTAATTAATTCTTATATCAGAGAAAGTCATAGAATTAGCAAGAGATTTTTTGATGACTGATGAGTCCCTGGAAATAATTTAAACAAATCCTTAACATGAGAACCATAGCAGAAATATTTTTGGATCACCTCCTTTTATTAATAGCAACTGTATCATTTCTTCATCTGTCAGTAAATGTACCACTCCATTAGTTTCAATTGATAGAATTATCAAGATCTGGCAATCCTTTTAGTAATTGAGTTCCACTGTTTGCACTACAGTTTCTCCACCTGTTCATTACCCTACCTATTCAGCACCCTGATTTAGGAAACTGAAAATTATTTGCAAAAGCTTCTTGAATAAATTTTTCAATCGAGTTGGGTATTGACATGTAGCAAAATTATTAGTTTCACCATATGTATATATGATGTGCATAAATTTTATAACAAAACAAGATGTAGGAAGTCATTCCAGGGTTATTTTGTTTTGTAAGTAAACAAGGTGTACCATTTTGGAGATCTGCAATTTTGTGATAGAAGTAAAACTTTTTTTTTATCAAAATTGTGTTATAAATTTTTGTTGCTAGACATTTGACAGTGTTGATGACTTCCTTCTTGTGTTAGTCCACTCCAAATTTTCCTTAAATACCATTCCTATTGGCTAAACTCATTCTGCTTCAATCCCATTTTCAGTGTTAAGAATGGCAAATCCTCATGCAAAGGAGTTGAAACCCAAAACAGGGAGGGAGGATGGGAGAGGGTCCCACCTTACAAGTGACCCCCTCGTTGTAAAGAAGAAAGGAAAATAATTGTTGTCAATTTTGAAACAATTCAGCATGTCCTATGCTACACGTAAGCGACAAATATAGATCTCCCTCTACCTTCCTGTTTCTCAGCAGATTTGATCTTACCTTAAGGAGGCACGTCGTTGATGTTTGTTTTTGTTTTCAATTTTCAAAGATAGCAGGTTACGAACTGCTCGTATCCAACGTCCATCCGTAGAATAGAAAAAAATTCAATTGAACCCAGACAAGGTCGTTGATATGCTATTTTAAGCTTCTGTATTTAGCGATATGTCACGTGTGTTTACAAGGTTATCGCGTACTGAGGTCACCCATGTGATTTCAAAAAGTTTCGCTTTCTTTGACTTTAGAAGATGTCGAGTTGTGAAGGTAACTAAGCGCAAATAATCGGCTTAGGCGGTCGAAGACGTGTGGAAAGGAAATCTTTTCTGTGAATTTATTTGGATCTGAATGGTGTGACTCGGCGGAAGGTATTTCTGATGTCGACGATTTCAAGATCAAGGGAAAATGTCGCGTGACTGAGGTATTGGCAGCAGAACTTTATCGGATGAATTAAAACTGCAAGGTATGGTTTATAGGAATCGCAGTCTTTCTAATTTACTCAGTGACCAATTACAATTAGCTAATCTTATAGTGTTTCAGTGCAGTTCCATTTCAACTTAGACTGGCGGAAATAAGGTGAATCGAAACGCGACTTTGTTTTTGCTTTGGATAATTAAACACGATTGAAAGCCTTACATCCCTAAAAGTAATAGTTTAGTCAGTTTAAGCAAATTTTGAAATCAACGCGAATTGTGTTCTACCAGGTTTGGAGTGGGTTCGAGAATAAACAAAAATGCCAAAAATAGTGCCCAGTGATAATTAAGGTTGGCTGTTTAATGATGCATGAACGCGAGCAAAAAGCTCACTTTTTGCTCAACTCCTGAACAGCATTAACAGGAAGTTGTTATCAAGAAGTGAAATATTGACACGAAAGGAACTTAATTTTACATCAGACCTCACGAAAAATGATAATGATAATAATAATGATAATATCAATAATAATGATAATTATTATAATAATAATAATGATAATAAAAATGATGATTTAGATACATGTAGATCAGTTCAGTTACAGAGAATTAAAAATATTGACGGGGGAAGTTTTATTCAAAAGCTAGCACAGTATGTTTTAATGTTTCCAATGTTTCTGAGAGAAAACCGTGCGCAGCATGAAAAGAAGAAGATCTTGTTGTTAGTGAGTAACAGAAAAGTAAAATGACAGTTTCAATTCCCTTGTTTCCGGTCTTTAAAGTTAATCGCTGAATGCCGACAGGTCTGAGAGGCTACAAAAATAGAGAATATATTATGAGAAAAAAATTGTTAACGTAAATAAGGAAAGAAGAGGTTAGAAAAAGTGGAAGAGGGAACAAAGCAGGCGAAGGTATGGGAAAAAGTGAAATAAGTAAACGTATATGTACTCTATCGGTCTGTAATAATTTGAAAGAAAATTCCAAGAAGACTTCACTGCTACGTAACGAAGTGAGTACGTATACACGTGACATTCAAGTATTTTGTCAAGGTCCTAGACAATCTCATTAGGTGTCAGACACATTTCGTTGCGCATTCGTCCGTCGAAGAAAGATGGAGGGGGCTGTGGGGGGAGGGGACAGTGGACAATTTATTAGAGAAGGAATTTTTACCTTCAAGCTACACATGAGTTTTTTCCTTAGTGTGGGCTTCTGCAAGGTATTTCTTACCCGTCAAACACGGACTGACTCAGCAGAAAATGGCCGATATTGACTCCATTTGCAGGAGTTTTTCGTTTTTAAACGCGTAAATTGCGCGCATGCGCAAGAGCGAGTTGTAGATATGATGTGAAGAATGGCACTTACTCGCTCGCTCGATTGGTCGATTCCTGTAAACTTTTCTTCGATTTTAGGCTTTTGAGTGCATTTGATAGTTTTTGGCGAGTAATAGACAAACGAAATGTCATTAATGTTTTTATTAAGACAATATTGCCTTGATTTTCCAATATTTACAATGATAGACAGTAAATTTCACTTTTCACCCACATTTACTTCCCACATTTTCTTTTGAACCAGAAACAAAAATAATGTATGTTTAAAACACATGGCATTATCCACCCTTGTCAAATGTAATTAATAGCATGATCATTTCAATTGTAATGCCTTCTTATCCCAACGTTACTTTGTTTCCTTGCTACATTAGCGAACACTGAACTACCGCTCGTACTCTAGATATGACAATCAACCACAAAATTCCCTAAACCAGATAACATTAAACATAATCCAAAAAATCATGTAAGTCATCTGTCAATTCACGAGTTTGCCCACAGAGCACTTTGATTTTGTTCTGTTTGTTTGTTTTTTGTATTTATTCGTAATTACATTAACAATCAATCTTCCCTAATCTTTTGAAACTTAAGAGCGACGAGCATCTTATTTCTCCTCATAACATCACCCCTGAATCAAACATTAATTAAGGTCTCGAGAATAAAGTGATCACATACCAAAGAAGCTCTTGTTTTTTTTGGGGAATTTCTCCTTGTCAGCACCTTGAGAAATGTATGGGGAACACTGTGGAGAATATACATACTGATGTTAAGGTGTAAAGCGTTAAGATAGAATGGTCTCAGTCTTTTTTTTTGTGAGTGCCCCGTAAGCAACGACATAAGAACTCAGCAGGTAATTTAGTGTTATCAACTGGGTTGAAAACGTAAATTAGCCACCGTAAAGGGTAAAAAAGCTGACGTTTCGAGCGTTAGCCCTTCGTCAGAGCGATTGAAGAGCGATTCGAACTCAACTTATTGTTTTTATTGTGCTTTTCAGAACATATTTCGTCATACCAAGAAAAAATTCTGGGATTATATTCTCTTGCTCATTTCAAGTCATTGCTAAGACGAAGGGCTAACGCTCGAAACGTCAACTTTGAAACTGTTCACGGTGGCCAATTCACATTATCAACTTAGTCGATAAAACCACATTATCTTTTTGCACTCCCTCACTTTAGAAACTTATCCCCTTTATCAATTTTCTATTAGGGTTAGTCAAGTTTGGAGGGAAGAAATATGGGAAACGCGCAAGCTGAGTTGTTGTATCCAACAAAGGATCTCGAAAATGGTGAGTTGAAAAAACCACAGGACACCCATACACTCTTGACATATATGGAATTAGGGTTTCTGTGATAGTATAGGGACCCTCACTTATTTATCAGATATCATTACCAACGAATTTGCCTTTTTTTCCCCTTTACCCACTAATAGACAGAATGTACATTTAAACTGCGATTTTGTAATTGAACTGAGAAATGAATTCATGAATTTAACAGGATTTTATAAACCTATCATAAAACCTAACATTGAGCCCATTGTCGTTGAGAGTAAGTGGACTTTATTTTCCTGTGAAAAAAGATGGAATTAAATTTGTTCCATCCCAAATTAATGATACAATTTGATGAATTTATGAATTTATTTTCCTATCTGAAATCAGCCATGGGAGCTGGGTCTCGGTTCAAAACTCGGTTGCTGGAATGAAATGTTAATGAAATATTCAGTGACTTCACCCAAGGCCTGAGTAAACAGTTTTTAGGCCCTGCAGAGTGTTTTGTTTTTCACTTTTTTTTTGCTTCAGTTTTGCCCAATATCCTTGTAAAAGTCCTCCAGACTCTGGCCTTAACATGCCCTTTTATTTCAACTAAGGGAAACCAAAACCAAATTAAAATAAATCCTGGTTGAGTGCAACTTAAACATCTTTCGAAAGATGTTCCGACAATCTGAATCCTTTGAATCTAAAAAAGATTAGTTTGGACAGGATTTGACAGTATCAGCGTGCACGGTTTGAGCTTACTCATCCGGTACGAAAAACAAATCGATATGCGCATTTGGTGTACTGACGTCTTTCGCTGTTCTGTTCCATCATCAATTCGTCTTTTCGTATTTCCGATATCTCCCACTTTGAACCTTATAAGGTAAATAAAAAGAATGAGGGCAGTAAGAAAATGAAATAGAAAATAAATGTTTGCTTTAGGGGTTGCATGTGATCCCACGCAAGGGCTACTCCCTGAGTAGGCTCCTGACCGGAGGTAGTGTTACATCCCACTCAAATTTCCGAATGGGAAGTGCTTTTAGGGATACCAGTTATTGTGATAGGTAGTTCGTAATGAAATATGTAACAGTAACTTGCACCTTAAAATCAAGGCTAATTTCAGTATCGATCTAAATTGCTTTGATTTCCAGTTTATTAAAATACGGTCTCTTACAAGTCATTCCCTGAAGATGATCAGTGATGCCTAAACGCTTGAAAAACATTCCCCACTATATTTGAAAAAAAAAAAAACGAGATGACCTCTTAAGCTTTAGAGATTACCAGGATTGACGTAATCAGCTTGGTAACCGCGTATGTTGTGACTATCTTGCACGTTAAATGATCAAAGGTTTTGGATTCAGCATGTTGCTGCAACATTTCCTTGAAATTTGACGAAGTCCTTGCGGACAGTTTATGATATATAAAAGCTGTCGAAAATGTCTAATATGAAGCAAGGCGAGCCTTGCGCTCAAGAGAGCAGTGATTATGCGATGATCACGGACGTGCAGCCATCTTCAACAGGTTTGAATGTGAGCGGACCTCAGCATTTACAGGCATTTGCAAGTCCCCGTACATCCAAGAAGCGAAATTTTTTGGCTTCTCTGAGCAAGGGAACCCAGAGAAAAGGAACAATTATTACGCGGCCCATGAATCAAGATTCTATGCCCGAGGAAATGGAGGTTAGTGTATGTTTCTGATTTTAGTTCTAGAATCATTGATCATTATACAAGGGGTGGAAATAGAACTCAACGCTAAACTTGTTTAAAATTAGAAAAATCCATCAGGTTGCTAATTTAACAAATAGGAACGTGACCAAAGTAGATTGAACTTTGTATATCTCCTCGTGAGTTGATCTCACCTTTGCATGTTTAGGCACTTGATATTAAATCAGCTGTTGTAAATGGTGACACGAAAGTACTGTACAGGCGAACTTAAAACAAAGGACAACTGTAAGACGAGCTCATCATTTCTTTACTCAGCACCTTCTTCACTACTGAAATACAAGCGTTTTGTTTTTGCAATGCCGCTGTAGTCGAGCAAAAGACCCCATTATTGCAACCTGTTTCCAGTCGATGACGCTCTCTCTCAGCTGATTTTTATTGCATGATCTTATTATGATCACGAATATTCAGAATTAATTAAATACTAGTACATTCTCAAGAGGAAATAGAAACAGGTTGCCTCGAAGGGTTTTTCCTTCAACAAAATTTGCATCTGCAGCACAAACCTGAAATTGCAGTTAAAGTGTTTTGTGTGGACAAGTAATTTTTTTCATATTGAGCAGAGAAATAGATTTTAAATGTGGAGAGTTTCTCACTCCACTTGATGCTTTAGATTATAAACATGAAATTTGGTGAAAAAATGTTCAAGAATCTTCTTTGAACTTGTAGAGCAACTAAGTGCCATTAGTGCATTTGATCCACTTGTGTCTGTCCTTTGCCACTAAAAAAGAGGTCACAAAAACATAGAACAACTGTGATTACTATCTGGATTGGTGCCTCTATATAATAATGAGTTTCCTAAGGTGGTTTGGTTTGGTATAGTAATTCATTATTCTTTGTTTATTCCTTTTTGGGATCTGTGATGTACTGTTTGAATTAACAAAGAATTAGGAAATATATTTTTGGGTTTTATACGAACAAAGACCATTCATGTGACTCCAAACAACATGGGACTTTTTTTTTTTTTAGATAAATTGGAAAAGAAGCTTCAGACTGAGAGATTTTTGTTAAATTTTGATGAGATTTTTGTTACATTACTATTGTATTTCTGGCTATATGAATGAACAAGGTGAAGCAATCCTGTGTTCTGATTGATTACCTGATTGGACAAGATTTTCAACCATGTTCAGATGCATGAGAAGAAACTGCTTGTAACTTTTTCACACAGAAAGAAGGTTTTTATAGTAATCAATCTGAAAAACATAAGACTGGTACCACTTAGTTTGGTCATTATAGAAATGTCATTGCTGCAGAATTCTCCACTGCATTAAGGAAAATCTCCGCAGAATGCTGGTTCAGCAATCAATAGGACTGTATCTTTCTGATTTCTGGTGTTTATTTCTGATCCATACAATATCCATACTTTCTACATTTAACTCTTTAACTCCCAGCTCAAATTTGTACCTCTCCTTATTGTTAACCATAAAATTCTTATAATGTTAGTTGAGAGAATTTTGTATTGGATCAACTAATTATCCCCAAATTGATATTTTTCTTTATTCTCATGACTTCCCTTGCGAACTGAATTCCCAGTTTTCTGGGAATTCCTAGGAATTCCTAGGAATTCTCAAAAATTCCCAATTATGCAAATGACCCTTGCAAACTGAATTCCCAGTCTTCTGGGAATTCCTAGGAAGTCTCAAAAATTCCCAACTATGCAAATTAACTCTGATTTAAAAAGCTTGGAATTACTGGGAATTTCTGGGAAAGGAAGACTCCAGTTTTGTGAGGACTTGGAATTCCTAGGAATTCCTAAGAATTCTCAGCTATACAAACTACCTATAACTATTTGTGGACCAGAGTTCCAACGCACCTCTGTAATCGCATATAGTTATTTCTCTTGTACAAATTTTTCTCTTTTGTAAGACGCACTCTACTCTGTTGTCACCACTGCTTTAAGTTCAGTGGAAACGACCGACTGAGGAATCGAGATGGCGGTGTTGGAACGTGTTGCTGAACGCTTGCTATGGTCAAGCTTTGTAGATTTAGGTACCGGTACACTGGGATCATCTGTGTATCTCTTATACTTCCCAATATGGTATCCTTCTTTTATAAATATGAGGTTAAAAGACGATTTGTAGTTGCATTCAAAACTGTGATTGGCTTGTGTTATTTCTCACATTTGCCATGAACACAACTCAAGTGAGTTTCGAGTCTTTGTTTCTTTGACAACTTTTGGCCACAAATTTTGCATTTGTAATACGATCGATTCTTGTCGATTATTTCTACATAGAGTGAGCTCAAATCATAATTTATATCACCAAGGTATCCATCGTCTAGAAGCAGAGAACCGGTCAAAGTCAGATTAAAGTTGTGCGCTTCTCTCAACAATGCAATCGGCAAGCCAGCGGATTCACTTT